GTAGATGAAACGGATGCAACATTTTGTTATCATTGTTTTGGTACGTGCGCATTTGAAGACGACTGATTGTGTAGTGTAGATAAATAGTATAGATAATAAATAACTTAACACAACTTTGCTTAATCCTTAAATACATGCCTTAGAATAAAATAGACAACTAGATATCTATACTGTACAAGGTGAGCTTAATCCAAATGTAATAATCATTTAAATCTATATAGCCGAATATAAAAATATTCCAGGAAAACTTTTTCGGTGGACACTTTGTAGGGAATACGCTGACCCCGGGATGACCAGACAGACGTTCGTCATTTGACGAGACTCGTCGATATAATAAATTCATGATGCAAACATGACGTAGCAAAGGAAAGTCAACGTCTCTTCATCGTCATAATTTATGCGACGAAAAAACGCACGAGGAAAGAATTTTCATGCGTCAAGGGCAGCTTGCGTCACCGATAAAGGACTACGAACTCAGACAACTGGACAAAAACGTCACCATAATCAATATCGGGCATTGGTTTCAATATCTGGACAAGGAGGGACGTATTAAAGAGGTTGTTACGCGGGACACTAGCGAATGTTTACGTTTTCGGGGATATTAAAGATGTATTCTTACAATATTTTAATAAGACATTGAGCGAAGCATGATTACAAATCCAATTAGTTTAACTCGTGCAAGTGTGAATTTTTGTTGGTATACGTATTGTGATTATAGATAAATGTAGACTATGGCAGTCCGAATATAATTATAAAATAGGACAAGAAAAAGGTATGACGAGGCTGAAAAAACACAATAATTTACAAAACACGAGAGACCGGTCGAAATGTCCCGTGCTTTGTAAATTATTGTGTTTTTCCAGCGTCGTCCCGTCTTCTCTTGCCCTATCTTATTGTGATTGATAGTACGCTGGCAATTTTGTAAGTTATTTTTCCATGATAACTGAATTTCTTTTAGAAAATAGAGTAATTATGGTGCACATCAGAATATTTATATCACAGATACCTTGTCTCAGATTTAACTTGTATCAGATAATAAAAAGTTGACTGGCAGAAAGTTGATCGTGCTTAGTGGAATCTTGGGTTGACGTGTGGTATTTTTGAGGGATTTGATTCAAAAATAGAAAAGAGAAGTTTATCGCGATTCCTAGGAATTGAGCTGTGAATTGATTCTCTCTCCATTTCGCGACGCAAACTGAGTTATGTGTATCACTTCACGCGCTTTCATATTTGCTCCTCCTCTTTTCTCTTTTCTCCTCTTTCCTGAGTTCGGCGAGTCACATAGCCTTAAGGAAAGATGCTTCCAGATTAGGTTTTATTCGAAGAGATTAAATTTCTATAATGATACTTGAAACGAACTCGCCCTAGGCCTTACCATACCGAAATGCCACAATGCTTAGCAATCCCTGAATAAATCCCACGATTATCATCGTAAAATAGACCAATCAGCGCGAAGCAAGGCAATACCCTGTTGGCCTCATGATTGTCAAGCGGAATTTTAGGGTTGCATTAAAGTTCCGATTTAATATTAGAAAGTTTTATTTTTTCACATTATTTGGCAAATTTAGCCAGCTCGAACGTATTACTAACACCCTAGAGGGGGAAGGATAGAGAAACTATCTTTTACTGAATCTCAGACGCAATTTTCACACTGATTACAATTGATTTCTTTCTATAAGTTGTGTCTTCCAAGCCGTATTTCATCTCTATGAAACCTGACTACGAACCCCCAATAAAAAATAAATCAGGCCTGTGAGTGTATAGGTTAAGCGGAGTTTCAAACGATCCACAGCGGGCCGATTATTGAAACTGATAGACAAAGCTATAGACAAAGACGACAAAAGGGATTTGGAGGGATCCTATTGGCGGAAGCGGGTGGTGGCAATGGACATAGGAAATAGGTAATGGACTAACTAACGGCAACCCACCAAAGACCCGACAGTTAGTCCACCATTTTCTTCCTTAGTCTATAAGAACCAACCATGTCAACCAATAGGATCGCTCTATACTCCCTATATCTTCTTTGTCTATCGCTTTGTCTATCAGTTTCAATAATCGGCCCGCAGGAAGGACTTATACGATACGCTTTACAGCCTTTACGCCTTTAATTGCAAGTTTCACCTGCGGTGAAAACGCAAGAATGCATATCTTGATGTTGTTTTTGAAGTCCTCAACCTGAATCCGTCTAAAAAGTTGGTCAAACAAAGATCTTCGCTTACAATTTTCACAGAATATTCTTCCTGCAGCAATGCAAATTGCCGACATCTCCAAGCCATCGTAACCTTCGACTAAAAAAATAAACTATGACAAGAAGTCTGCAACGCCGTGAACCCAGAAATGCGGCTCCATAGTTTCATCCTCTTTTTTAATCAAATTAGACTATCAAAATGACTTCATAATTAAAAGTGGTCAAACGCAGATCATCACTTGAAATGTTCACAGAATATTCTTGTAGAATATGAAAGTAAAAATTACCAGAATCTCTGAGCCTCGTCAACCGTTGTGTCAAACCGCGGCGCGGCGCCGCAGAGTGCTGCCAGCGTGACACGTGCACTGGCGCCTACAAACCTAACAGGGATACCTCACGCATTGCGCAATGCGTGAAGTATCCCAGTTAGGTTTGTAGGCGCCAATGCGCGTGTCGCGCTGATCGCCTTCACCTCGCCCGCCGCGCCACGGCGCTGCAAGCAACTATTTCGCAACAGAGGTGTTGCACTGTATCATACGAAATTGAAGGCGCTCGAACATATTGAGAATGACAGGCATTCTTTAAGAGTACGCAACTTTAATGGCAAAATAAATCAAGATACTGAGGCACAAAGACAAAGCGGTAGTCCAAAAACTCACTAAGTCATAGCATTCATATTTAATAACGTTTAGCATAATTTTTGAATTTCGTTAGAGGAAAAAGTGATTCAGACAGAAATATTCTTGGGTATGCCGCCAAGATAATTTTATTTTGAATCAAGAATAAAATAGCTGAATGAAAGTGGGTTTATGCTTGATGTAGGTGACTTTTCTTCTGGTGAAAGCATCTTTTCTTCTTTAAAAAAGTATTATTTTCTTTGTTGATTCATAAGAAAATCTTTTCGGCGGTAAATTTGAGCATGTTTCTGCTTAAATCATGTCACTTTCTCCTCTGATGAAGTTCAAAAATCTTTAACTTTAACTAACTCTTTAACTAAATCGTAAACTTTATTGAACACAGATAATTGGACTCAGTAAGTTTTTCGACTACCCCTCTCCTCATGTCGTTGTAACTTGATTGAAATTGAGGGGAAACCTCGTGCTTTTGGTAGATGCCATCAATCATGATATGTTGGAGTGCTTTCAATTTCATGTCATACTGTTTAACACCTCCGTGGCGAAATAGTAGCTCGAAGCACCACCGCAAGCCGGCGCGAAGTTATGGTACACAGGAAAAATCTAAGAGCCTTTAGCTGAGGCAAATCAAAAGTTTTATCCGGTTCAGGTATGACAAGATGGGATTTTCTTGAAAGATAATTAAGTCCTGTTGCACTAAAGAGGTGTAGAGAGTTTAAGTGAATTTTCCTTCATGGAGTTGAAGTTCCTCCATTATTACCAAAAATCTAAATTATATCTTTTTTTGGTTGGACCAAACAAACAAAAACAACAAGCAAACCCTCACTCTTCCAAGACTTTATACATTTTCACCCAAAAACATCATGAGCAATTGATGTTAGTATTTACATGTGGGCCAATTAACTTTGGGTCTCGATTGGTAAGTGGACCAAAACTCCCCTGTCGAAAAAACGTGTGGACATAAAATACTAGAAAAAACAGGTGTGCGGACTAAAAATCGTTGACGAATTGTCCTATAACCAAAAAATCAACCAACAGCTTGTGTTACTTCGTGTTGTAATTCTATATGAACACAAGATTTTGGTTACCTTTTCTTACTGTGCGGTTGAGAATGTTATGGTCAGTAACAAAAGCTTGCTGCGGCGTGTTGAGAAGTTGGGAATTAAAGGGGTGAAAGGGTGGAGATAATAGGGTGCAGAACCTCACCGTGCTCAGCTTTGGGCCAAGCGCACTTTTAACCTCGTGACATTTCCTCGCCCTACTGCAGCGAACGCGCGATGGTCTCCATACTAGTCGCCGGAGTTAAACGACGCGTGTGAGCGTGTCTCAGTTAACACCCGATTTGAGCCATGTTGCCAAGTTACTTGGTTAAAACAAAAATGCAGAGATTCAGGAAGGCATTGGTAGAGTTGAGCAGTGGGGAAGCATCTGCAGGTAGTTTTGGATAAAGATATATGTGTAACAGTGTAGAACTGCTAACATGCATTTTCAAAATTATCTGCGCGTAAAGACGTTAATAGCCTGAGACGCTGAATGTCTTGAAATTATACTAACTAACTATATCGACGGTGAAACTGCCAAACCACGTATTTCAATTTGCGACGTTGCAGACTTTCCACTATACTTTTTTTTTAAAAAATTGGGAAACTTTTCAACGACAATCCTTAAAAATTGTCGGGATTTTTCTTCTCCAGGCGAAAAAAATAATGTTATAATTTCAAAGAATTATGTAGATTTTTTCCCCTTTTAAAAAGTAAAATAGGAGCGAAGATTTTAAAACACCGCAAACGAGATACGTGGTTTGGGAGTTTCGCCGTCAAAATATACCTAGTAGATAGAAGCGCTGACGAAAGTGAAAGAGGGTAGTCGGTAAAGAAAGCAACGTTTTAAATATAAAATGGCACTACCCTAAGAGATTAATTAGTGTGTATAGGGAACGAAGAAATAATAGGAGAGAGAAAACAGCTTTTAAACATTTACTTAACTCCAGATGAACTATTAGAATAACCGCCAATCGACTTTATCACCACTAATAATTTCAGAAAAAAGAATAAAACAGGAGCCAGCCAACCATTAGAAATTGGGATGCTCAGGCAGAACCGACTCCACGTCATGCGTTACGCAATAGCAGCGTCAACAACTCGTCCCCTTTCAGGCTGAATACCACAAGCTCCAAAATTTCAACTTAGTGTTTACCTTGTCTCCTATCAGAAATGAATAACTTTATTGGTAATTTATGGTTCTTATGTCTCATTCGCATCATTTTATGTTGCTCCATAAGCGCTGAATTGGTAAGTTGTGCCAGTCATAGAATGGTACGTATTTTGACGATTTCAGCTTATATTTAGGTAAACATGTTCATGTTTACGGTCATTTTGGGATACTTTAAGTTACTTTTTTTCGATTAGGTCAACCATGGCGTTTTGGTTGAATCGACTGAAACCGCAGGTTACTCTGAGACGCCTATGGGGATGGAGAACGTATCCTACTGAACTAATTTACTATTTTTTTTTTCAAAATCACTCAGAGGTTGCGATTAGAGAGTGACTAGCGCATTGGATTATCGCCATAGTATGATCCTTGTTCGACCCTAGCCATTTGAAACTGATTTTTAACTAGGTTGCGAATTTTCAACCCAAAGATTTGGTCAATGCAACCCGAAGATTCGGTCTGAGTAACCCAAAGAAAGACTAACCGAACAATAATAACCACACGTTTAGGTGACCGTGTGTTCTACTTCTCATGAGAACACGAAATAAAATGACAACATACCTTGTTACAAAAAGCTTTGGTAACTTGTTCTTATTGTGTGGTTTTCTCTAGCTTTTTTTCGTGGGTAGGCATTCTAAGTGAAGCATCCAGAGCAAAAATGTTCATCACCAATGGGCCACGAAACGAGGTCTGAAGTAAAAGAAAACGCTACATGTTTTGTCTTTAAAATCGTACACAGAGATAACAATTCAAATAATGGAAAGTTTAGAAATTAACTCCTGAACGAAATTTTAACAGACCTTTTAAACACAGATCAAATGGAAGTTCGATTATACAAACGACGTGATTTGTAGTCTTGCCATTTGACCAATGTTAAAATAGAAAACAACTACACTTTGCACAGGGGTTGATTTTCAGACTTCCCGTCGTGTAACTCATTTTCCTTTTGGAATTTTGAAGAAAAACATGTACCGTTATGCTGTAAACATACCTTGTCTAGAGGTCCACTGCAATCTTATTAGTTTTGCTAATATATAAACTTAATCAATCAAAACGCGATTTCGTGACTTGTGTAACGAACTGACCCATTAATATGGAAACACTCAATTTTCAGGTTGCACTTGACAACGCTGCAGCTTTCGAGGCGTTTAATTGCATCGCCGACTGAGCTTCATCCCTAGAGATCGTAAATCATCAAGACTCGATGAGGTATGGACCGATTCTATCTTCCTTCGGTCCCTTCTTGATCGTTCTTGGTTGAAAAAACCAGCGAGTTGACCTTATAAAATTGGCACATGCCTCCGATCGGTTTACGTATTTTATTGGTACGTTTTATCGCAGATTAGTATTGTATAATACTAACTACCTCGCGGCCCAACCCCGCGAAGCGCTTCGCGCCTCGGGTGTTAAGCGTTACACTTTACTTACATGATTTTATGTTATTGCGTGGAGTATGATAACCCGCATTCAGCCTTATAAAAGCTCATTGCGATCGAAAATAAAGAACGAAAGGCAATTTTAATTACATTATCTTTGAATTTGTGGTTACATTTTCTTGGCAATCCCACATTATTTGATTTATTTTTAAGCGTAATTAGACGGATTCAACCAAAATTAGCCTAACTAAATCAAATATTGCCTCATTTCCGCATCTGTTTTACTTTTTTCTTAGAAAACCGGGCAACATCCTGACTTTGCAGATTTTGCACATATATATTGTTAAAATATGGGGAAATTTCCTAGAAAGTTTTACGGCGTTATTGTTTTTTGTTTTCTGCCAAAAAAAAAAAAAAAAAAANAAAAAAAAAAAAAAAAAAAAAAAAAAAAAAAAAAAAAAAAAAAAAAAAAAAAAAAAAGACCGTGTAATTTCTATACTCATTTGAAACAATTTTCGAAGGATTTCAGAGAGAACATCGACTAGTTTCCTTTCAAAATAAAATAAAACATGATCATCAACATTTTAAGGTTGCCGGAGAGATACACACTTTCTACGTCAGCCATCAAGATACTGAATATCAAAGTTGAGCATGCTGCGAACGCAACTGGCCCAGATCCCGAGCCCTTGACGTGGAGCGCATAAAAAAGCGTTAGGTGCGAAACTTGCAAGGAAGGGGGGGGGGTG